AGAAGGATTGGGATTGGGGGGAGGGGGGAGGCTGGGAAGGGATGTGAAGGGTAAACCAAAGGAGGAGGCTGCAATGCTTGGTAAGAAATGTACACATTATCCTGCTCATGTAATTGTAACTCCTCTGTACAGTATGTTCACAAATTAAATTAAATTAAAAAAAGAAAACTAATCCAATTTGTAATATTAGCCAAATAAATTGTTCCTTAACATAATTTTGGAACTTCATTTAATTCATATCTAGCTGAATTACAAACCCAAACTGTTACTTAATTACATTTTAAGATTAAATACAGTAAAATAAGAAAAGGTTGGGCCTTGAGTTCAGGCCGTACAACTGACTACTACTACTAATAATAATAATAATAAGCCAGGTGCCATGGCTTGTGCCTGTAATCCTAGCTGCTCAGGAAGCTGTGATCTAAGGATCTTGATTTGAAGCCAGCCTGGTCAGGAAAGTTTGTGAGACTCTTTATCTCCAATAACAAGCAAAAAGCTGGAAATGGAAGTATGGCTCAAGTGGTAGAGTGTTTTTTTTCCCTCTTAGGGGGGAAAAACAGGGGAGAGGAATAGCAATCAGGCCTTAAGTTCAGGCCCCAGTACTGGTACAAGAAAAAAAAAAAGAGTTGAATGAACAGTATAATAATTAGATGAAATGAGGCAGTAACTTCAAGTGTAGGTGTTGATAGGTATTGTTTTCCTTTAGAACAGAGTATTTGGGGCTGAAATTGGGATTTGAGATGCAAGATGGAAAAAGCCCTTCAGATTCTGTTTTACCCAGCAATCCTGGGAAAGTAAGCACTGCTGAGGGAGGAATTAACTGCAGGGGTAATGGATTTATGGGATTTGGGATTTTGTTGAATTTTCAGTGCAGGGCATATGTATCTTCCTCCTTAAAAAAGTACTGCAGACTTTGGTGTAATCATTCTAAGATTAATTTGGTACTTAGATGCCTCTTGAGAGCTATGAAAAAAAAAAACGATGCAAGCTGCAGCCCCAAGTCCACCTTTCCAGGCTCTGTGTTTGCACCCAGCAGACACTCAGTGAAGGTGAAGGTGAAGATGATGGTGTGTGTTTGGCTGGGGTAAATGTCAGGGTAAAGAGACCAGAGGTCTAAAAACACCCATGTCCAGTGTTGTTTGGTGCTGAGAGTGGGTGGAGAAGGAGGCAGCTTTTCCAGCCATTTCCCACTGGCATTCTGACCCCGTGATGGGCTTTGTGGAAGGAAGCGATCTTCTTTCCCCTCATCCTCTGCGAGTCTTGCTGATTCTGCTTGAGATGCTTGTGGTGCTTCTCTCTCCCGACAGCCTGGTGCTGTTTCACCAACAGCCGAAAATGGAAGGCGCCGAAGCTGTTTCTTCCTCCTGGCATCAAGGCTGTGATAGGAGCAGTTTTCAACGTGTCACAAAACACAGGTCCAGCTGGGTTCCCATGGCCAGCCTGTAATCCATCTGCTCAGGAGGCTGAGTTGTGAGGCCGGAGGTTCAAAGCCGGCCCGTGGCGGGAGCGTCCGAGAGGGCAAAACGCCAGTCGGGGGAGAAGCTGGAGAAGCCAAGCAAGGGGTGGCATTGTCCAACTCACGAACTGTGACCCTTCGGTACCACACCTTCATGGTCATTAAATTAGGTAAGTATGTGTGCAGACACGCAGGTGCGTGCACACCATGCACACGCGCGCACACCGTGGTAGAGCCTTGGGTAACCCGAGCTCCAGCCCGGCCCCGGCCCGCGCGGGCGCACGGGTCCACAGGCAAGGCCCGCCAAGTGGGTGCTGCGGAGCCACATGGAGGCCG